TTTAACTACCTATCTGTTTACCTTGAAATGCAATGCAAGTCGCTTTGGCCAAATTCATAAATGTAAATGTAATTTGGAATCAAACATGCATATGTTTTGTTCATCGCATTGAGCCTTGGATGTTGGAGCAGTCAAAATTTCTGGCTTGGCAGATGGAACATGCTAAACAAACATCTGGCATGTAAATCGGAGGGGTAAACGGACAAGAAATGCAAATGAGAAGACTCTGTTGTGCGTTACGCTCCTCTGATTACAGGGTCAGGAAAGGTGCTTGTAATGGCTGCACCAATGAGTTATATTGATCCTGGTCACAAGTGAACAGCCTGTCAAGGGAAAAACAAGCATCATCCCAGGGAGGGACTGGGATTGGCTGCCAGGTGACTATCTGCATGTTATTAATCGCTGACGAAAACCTTTACCGAGAGAAACAAGCAGTGGAAAAATACTTAATCATTCAACCAAATGAAAATTAAAAAGGAGCATAAAAATAGTATACAAACGTTAGGTGTCTGTAATATTTTAATGTTTTTGAAAAAAAAAAAAAAAGTTTTTTATGCTCACCAAGGCTTTTTTTTCTTTAAAAAAAAGTTCATTGATATTAAAATAACTGCTTTCTATGTGAATATATTGTAGTGTCATTTATTCATGTGTTCAAAGCTGTATTTTCAGCATCATTACTCTTCATGCACCTTTAGAAATCAGTCTAATATGATGATTTGCTGCTCAAGAAACATTTATTATTATTATCAATGTTGGAAACTTTTCTTTCAGGATTCACTGATGAACATAAAGTTCAAAAGAACAGCATTAGAAATCTTTTGTCCATTATAAATGTCTTTACCGTCACTTTTGATCAATGAGTCATTGCTGAACCCAAACCATTGAAACCATTGCAAACTTTTATATATAAAATTTTACATTAAGAGAAAAGAATTGCTGTATTTGCAGATGCCCTAAGTAAGCAAAATGTGGAATGGCCAAATGAAATACATGGATCAAATAATGCAAAGGCATTTTGATCCAACATGGAACTGAATGATCAAGATTCGGCTTGCTGTGATAGTCAGTGTTAATGTTAAACAGTATTCCTGGTGATGATGACGAATTCGAAAGTGAAGCGATCATGCATTCAAAAGCGATTACTGTTATTGTTAATAACTGGTGTTGTTGCAATGGTATATACCAGTGGAAAAATGTCCTCACCGTGACATCTATTCTATAGTACTTACAATGTAGGTTACATTAGAAATTACCGTGACATAAGAGCTGTGTCAAAGGCAAAAATCGAACAAGGTTCACATAATTGGTTGCCTTTAATGCTGATATGATCAAACACAGAATACCAATTAATGATTAATGATTAACAAGTCCCAGCCAAAGCCAAACATTACAGTTACTTTACAGTTGTTGAGGTCTGTTCACCACAAGACTAGTAATATGCGCTAACAAAGTAAATAGGTTCAATTTTGATTTCACGGGGACTTTAACACTGAACCTAAAGATAAACAATATATTTTACGACGGAGCTTGGAAGCGGACCAAAAACGATCTTTTCAGTGGTCTCTCTGTCCACACACTAGGGTTTGGGCGGCGGCGTTCAACTTCACACTTAATCAAATGAACTCAGGGTTCGTTTTAATCTGTTGTAATCCCACTGGTCAGACCGGATCTATATCCTCTGAGCCCTAATCAGTTGATCAAACTAACGAGAGCTAACAGTGGGTAAAAGCGGTCTGGTGAAAAGACTAATCTAAGCAGACACTACACCACAGGCCAAACCAGTTTCACAGCCTGGTCACAGTTCAGATCACTTTAGTGGCAGCATGTAAGAATCGATGAAAGAATGCAAAACGGAAACAGAATTAACAATGGACCAACTATCAGATAACCACGAGTGGCTGTAAACAATTCAACCAAATTTCAACAAAATGCCAAACAAATTCTGCAGAAATGGCTGCTTTTCCAGTTATTGTAGATGAAGAATTTAACATGGTCTCCTGAAAGACTGCCACATTAATTGTTTATTTTGATAGGGACAACGCATCCAAACCCTGCTGAACAGAAGCTCACTTAAATTGTTCTGATTAATTAATCTAAACCCCACCTTTATCAGCCGTGCCAATGAACCCTGAGCGTGAGCTTTAAATCGGTCCATTCTGTATTCACTGCTACTCGCCGTCTTCAAGTCGTGAGACCTGGCACTCACTCCTGAGCATTTATCAATAATGAAGTAACAGACTCTGAAACATTAATGTTAACCCTTGCAGAGGCGCCGGTGCATTTGGACGGATGGACTGTGATGTAAACACTAGAAATGACCAAAGCTACAGCCGACAAGCAGAGGAGACCAAATACAGCCCGACTGACCGAGGAAGTCAAGAGAAAAACCAAAGGGTTTAGGCCAATCAAGTCTCAAAAAAAAAAAACATAAATAAATTTGCTCTAACACCTAATAAAAATGCATTTCTCTTAATCAAAAGGCAATAAAAACTGTGAATGTGTGTAAACAATTTGATATCTTTTTGTAAATCTGTACTACCCCTGGCAAAATGTGATGCAAGTCTTTGTTTATGTTTTATGTTATACCCGCAATATTGGAAACTGCACAATGTATTTTCTTTTATAATGGAGAGGAATGTTCTTGTAAACTAATTGTTGAAAAAAAATAAAAATAAAATGTAATAAAAATGTAGCCATGACAAATAAAAATCTTAAATTACTTGCATTTCTCTTCTTCACATATATATTTGACTTTATAAGACTAACATTATACTATTTAATGTAGTGCATGAGTCTACTGGACTAATTTATGATTGACAGATGGGCCCACTATGAACTTTTGATGTTGAGCAGAACATATCTGGGAAGGATTCTTCTAAATAAATAAAGTTTAATTGGCTCTAACAGTCAGTGAAAATTTCACCTTAAATTGCATAATCAGATCAGTGAATAATGACTTAAATTTCATACATTTCAGCAATGTAATATGCTTGAATCTTCTGACTAATTTATGATAGACAGATGTGTTCACTATGAATTGTTATACAGAAAAAAATCTGAGATTCTTAAAATAAATAAAAAAATAAAAAAGATAAATTTGCACTTACATCCAGTGAAAATGTAGCCACTAAAAATCTTATGAGCGAAAAATTGTATAAATGTGTGTCTCATATTAAATTATGATTGACATGATATGATTGATCATACATCCAAACCAATTCATTTAAATCAATTAAATATTTTTATTTATTTTTTTTTTGTAATTTTGTTTGTCTGTTCGGCTTCATGGGAAAATCGTGATCTCTATTCGAATCAAAAAAAAAAAAATCGTGATTGCAAAATGTACCCAGAATCGTGCAGCTCAAGCTGCCCCACAAAGATGTCCCTAAAACAACAGTGAGGCTAAAGAGTAGGCCGCTTCGACTCCTGCTAGGTAAGTGGCATTCAGAAAGCTGAAACTGTCATGGCAAACAACCTCTCGCCCCCACACACACTCTTCTGAAACAGGAAGAAGCCTGAAACTCAGCATTTGCACATAACTGACCTCATCTTCCCTCTGCTGCATTTCCCCAAAACATCATCATTCTAAACCTTGGACAACAATCGGCACCTTATGCACAACTCGCTTCCCCACCCGTAAAAGATTATTTAATAAACCATATATTATACCCTAATCAAGCAGAACCAGTGCACATGTGTACACTTGGGTCAGAGACAAAAAATTAAAAAGGTAATAGTGACTAACTTTTATTTCGCAATTCTGACTCTATAATGCGATAGTTTTAATATACAGATCACAATTCTGATTTTAAAACGTGCAATTGCAACTTTATAGCACACAATTCTGATAAAAAAAGTCAATTAAGAGATTTTATTTATTTTTTGGTTTATTTTGGCTTCAATTGGTCTCATCTAATGGCAAGCATGTGAGAATCTCAGGTCACCACGAGTGCTCTGGTCTCAGACGGCACGCCAACAGAGAGTCTGATGCATGTATACATAAATCACACATACAGACAAAAGCTGATGCTGCAAAACTGCCCAGGAACACACAGAGTAGTGTACCACTGGTCACTTTACATGCCAGGCTTCCTGTCCAAGTGGACAGTTGTTGTCAGGATAAACTGCAATCTGGACCAGACTTTATGCTGGCAGCAGGAGAGAAACACTGGTCTGATTACTGTACACACAGAGTGGGATGTGTGTAGAGATTTCAGCAACTTGGTCACAGTGTGGAAAAGGTATATTTACACTAGTCAACGGAGTAGCGTGAGAACATGGAAGAAACTCCCCCAGGCAGAGGGTAATTTAAAACACTAATTCAAAGACAGTAGACCTTAAAAGCGAGTCACGAACGCTCATCACAGAACACAGCAAGATGACCATTTGTGCTTATAAAACGTAAACTTTTTTATTTATTTTTGAAATGACTGATCGTTTAACTAGATACGACCCTTATTCATCGTCTGGTGTCGTTTAAAGCCCTTTGAAGCTGCACTGAAACTCTCATTTGAACCGTTTGGACCCCATTGAAGTCCATTATATGGAGAAAAATCCTGGAATGTTTTCATCAAAAACCTTAATTTCTTTTCGACTGACGAAAGAAAGACATGGACATCTTGGATGGCATGGGGGTGAGTAAATTATCAGCAACAGTTTTTTTTGAAAGTGAACTACTCCTTTAATGATGTATTTTACTATATACGACTCGAAAGTGGTAGTTGCGTAGAATGTCAATGGAGGGACAGAAATCTCTCAGATTACATCAAAAAGACATTCATTTGTCTTACGAAGATGAACGAAAGCCTTACAGGTTTGGAACGACATGAGTATGTGTAACTTAATTAATGACAGCATTTTCATTTCTGGGTGAACTATCCCTTTAAGGGGTCACCATTATGGCTATAGATCACTACAGGGGTCGTAGGTTATAAATAGACACATGCACAAATACTATGACACTGAATTTTAAAAAAAAACCATAAACATACTCTACTCACCCAATTTCATCAAGGAAGCCAGCAGCACCCATAATGAGATCTCAAAGGGCAGCCGAACGTGTTCATAATCAAAAGCCAGAACCGGGAAGGGCTTCTTGACGTAACTGGTGTGATTTCCCTCACCGCCGTGATTCGGGAGCCCGTGATCTCCCGTGTGGGACATCCCGTGACCGGTGCCCGTGTCTGGAGAGCCGGCGGCCCCTCCGACGGGCATCAAACTGCCCACCAGGAGCCCCAAGACAACGATGAACATCTTCATCTCCATGACAGTTGTGCGTTTCAGAGGATGAGAGGAATCAAGCTCCTCCAGAGACACGATTAACACGATATTATCTGACCAGGTCTGTCGATGCTTTAACTAGCTCTATGGCGAAGTTCCTTTTTAACCTACTAGACAGTTCCTGGATCATTTTCTGACTTCGTTCGGACTGACTTAAATATCATAAGCTTTTTGGTTTCCTACTTCCTGGACTCTTGGATAAAGCACTTAAAACACCCTTTCCAGGTGAAGAGAAAACCAGGAAATACAGACGTGTGTGCGTGTGTGTGTGTAGGCTATATACCAGCATATAAACTAGGAAACATTATATATCCTCAGATAAATAGAGAATATTCCCTCAAAGCATTACACTAGAAGGTAACGTTAGAAATGATGTTCGTCCTCCATCATCATCATCATCCTCATCCCCCTCAGAAACACTGTGTGAAAAAGGACACTCAATGACAACTCCACAACACTCCTCATCGATACAGTCCAAAGGTTTCAGTCACGTTTTCTTCATGTTGCTCGTTTGCTCTTCTGATAACACATCAACCTGCTGTCCTGTCCCGGTCACGGACGACAAGAAAAGTATTTTAACTACGAATGACGTTTCTGTGTTCGTGGTATAGCGTCACGCGGGCATTTCAGCGCTCCTTAAAGAACTTATCCAGTGTCCTTTAGCGATCCAACTGATCATTTCTCTCACACACACACCGACTCCTTTCCCCATGTCTGCAGTGCGTGATGCAGGACAAATATACGTCCAGCCATAAAACACACCCTTTAGGCAGGTTTCGAAAAGTCAAAGGGAGGGGTCTCTTTCTTGGCCTGCAGCGGCATCCAGTGGAGAGGAGGGTCGTCGGGTTGCCAAGACACGTCGAATTGGGGAATCCTTAAAGGGACAGTTCACCAAAAAATATGAAGAAAATTACGTCACTCGTCCTCATTTGGTTCAAAACCCACAAGTCTATCGTTCATCTTCAAAACACAAATGAAGTCTTTTAAATGAAATCTAAGAGCTTTCAGTTCCTCCATTGACAGCTACTCAACTAGATGCTTTAAAAAAATCATAAAGAGATTGTAAAACTAATCCAAATTAATTGAACAGATAAGTCCACATTTTCTAAAGAGACACGATCGCTTCATCTGATGATCAGATTGAATTTTGGTGTTTATTTACATCAACTCACATATCAGTTCGTCGTGGCTGTCAATGGCCCCCAGAGATGTATAGTAACGAACTACTTAAATACTGTACTTAAGTACTAAAATGCTGTATCTGTACTCTACTAGAGTATTGTTTTTTTCTCATACTTCTACTTTTACTTCAGTAGATATTTTCGATGAATTTAATACTTTTACTTTGATATTTTTTTAATGTTCTGCTAGTTACTCGTTACAATTCTAAAAATTTTACGAATCATTCGTGGCAAGTTGGCTTTCATGCTGCCTAAATCACACGCCAGTTTAATAAGGTAATGGTATTGATTGACACACACATTGACAACTAATGCAGGGGTTGTCCTGCAATGACATTTTTTTGCCGGCCGCCAAAGCAAATTTGTATCCCGCCAAAGCGCCTTATTTGATTGCTATCTCAAACTTTTGACTGCTTTCTTTAATAATTGCATGACACAATACTTGTACTTTTACTTTTAGTACTTAAGTAGTGAATTTTAAAATAAACTTGCAATACTTAAGTACAAAAAATGTTGAATACTTTAGTACTTCTACTTAAGTGTGGCGCTTAAAGAGCACTTCAACTTCTACTCAAGTCATTTTTTTGATAGAGCACTTGTACTTTTACTCAAGTCCGGGTTTCTAGTACTTTATACATCTCTGATGGCCCCTGAAGAATGAAAGTCTTATGGTTTTGAAATGTATTTTTTTTTTATTTTTGAGTGAGATATTCCTTTAAAGGATATAGTTTGTCTAAAATAAAAGAAAAAATAAAGAAAAAATTCTGTATGCATTTTCTCACAACTTTTCAGACCCGTTGGACTTTCTTTCTTCGATGGGGCACAAAAATACCATTCACTCTTTATAGATAGCCTGAGACTGAACCTGTCGAGCCTTGAAATGATAAAAAAGCACCATATTAGTCAATCATAGAGCACGACGTATGACTTCTGAAGTCTTTCCATCTTTATATGATTAATAAACCTTGCCTTCTGCTGTTGTTTTAAAATGAATGGCATTAACTGGCTAGATAGTAATAGTTGTGATTCCTTGCAAGCATGTTATTTGAATGGATGTGGAAACTTTTAAGAAATGAGGTGCTATTTAAGGTGCTATTTTGTCATTTCATTTCCCATTCACTTTCATTAGTTACAACTTATGTTTAATGCAAGAATTTTTCAAACATGTAATCATGTATACTTTTCTATTATATTAGGCCTACTCAAGCAACCCCTAAAATGTAACTCAGTTTAAATGAGTTTAGGTAGCATGCTTACTTTGTTACCTGGCTGGTCAGACTCGTTTTTTCTTTATTTTATTATGCTAATACTTTAGTAAGGGCAAGACAAATCTATAGGTCTATATGTATAATGTGGAATTGGATTAGTATTGTCAAGCACACCTGGCAACCCTGCTTGCTGTGACAGGGTGATTCAGTTAATTCAACAAACTCATGTTTTATTGTTCACTCCTAATCTATTGTTAGTCGTACAACATGCTGGTTTCCAAGAATCTGTGTGGTTCACTCCCTCGAATCTCCTGTTCGTAGTTTCACTGCACATAAAGCGGCTGTCCTTCATTTTCAGCTGAAGGAGACTTAGATCCAAAAATCTGCAATGCAGCTCGGCACACAGCCAGGAAAGAGCATTTTGTGTCTAAATTACTGTTATTGAATCTAAGACATATGACACAAGACGTAAGTGTTTTTCAATGAAACTAACAGTCATCAAAATAGCCAAATGAGGCCAACAGGTAGTTTCATAATCCTCTTATGACTTATGACCAAACTGTCTACAAGTGGAACTAAGTAAACAACTCGGATAACTATAATCATGAGGAAGGAGAAGTTTGAATGACTCACTGCGGACAAAAGATCTAATGTTATCATAGATTTACCTAAATCGTTGGCCATGTTTTTATTATAATTAGATACAATTGGTAACCCATTTGTTTATTCACCTAAATAGCATGTTGAAGAAAATCTGTTATTATAAGCTGACTGAATTTAAAATAAACATGCTCTGTGATTTACTTACTGTATATTCCGAAACATTATATCCTCACGTCCAGACAAAACCAGTCACGTCTTCCCTAATGTGATTTGTGTGTTGCCTGAAGATAGATGTAAAACACAACTGAATGAATGAACAATAGAGAATTGATATCTGCATATACTGAACGGGGAACAGGAACCTGAAGAGGAAAGATGCAAAAGGTCACAAACAAAAAGTAATTCTTACTAAAACAAGTACAGGTCATATTTCAAAATAAAATGATGCTTTTAAAAATAATCTCATAAAAAGATTTTATTAATCAATTAGCATATATATATATATATATATATATATATATATATATATATATATATATATATATATATATATATGAAGAGTTCAGATGCAAAAGCCTCTAAGTGCCATTTGAAATTTTCTTCTAGAATGATCATTTTTATCAAGCTTGTATATTTAAGTTCAGTGATTTCACTTAAACGGCAATGATACTTACCTATTAATTGTTATTTAAGTGAAATTACTGAACTTAAATATACAAGTTTGATAAAAATCATCATTAAAGAAGAAAATTTCAAATGGCATTTAGAGGCTTTTGCATCTGAACTCTTCATATATGTATGTGAACATTAAACACATTTTCTAACACAATGTGTTTGGATTAAAAATTGGTAAAAAAACAAAAAACAAAAACAAAATGTACTCATTTTTAATTATATTTAATTATTAGAGTTGTATATGATATGTATGTATGTTTATATTAGTACTTTTTTTATTATTATTTTTTTTTTATTAAAGTAGTTAATCATGTACATTTTATCGTGTATAAAAGCCCTTCCAGGGACAGGAGTTGAAAATTAGCAATAAACTTTATATGCAACACTTCAGTGACATGCTCGGTCTTGACACTATGTTTGTTTGCATTGTCCCTGTCAAAAAAAAAAAAAAAAATTAAACAAAATGTTTATTTTAATCTTAAATATCTTACTATTAAAGTTTTTACTGACTTTTTTGTCTATTGGAATGAAATGACCACATGATTCACTCAATGTGCAATTTTCCCGAAACATTTATTTTCCATCAATGTGTTTTTAAACGTCATAATTGCATGTAAATTTGATCTCGTGTATAACGCAGGCAAAAATATCCGACCTCGTATTCAATACAGCCAGCAGATCTGTGGAGCTTGACTTTAACATCAGAGGTTTCTCTGTATCGTGCAATTGTCTGTTTTCTGTTGTGGGCGCTTGAGCTTTTCGTGTGCTAAAATAGTTTCACTGTGATTTCAAGCTGCATCAAACACAGAAAATGAATAGACACAAGCTGGAGTGGTCAGAGGAAAAACATAGCAGATTTTATTGAGCACAAGTCTTAAATGCATGCCGGGTTTATTCTTGTGACTTGTTTGTTGCATTGAACTCAAAGACCAAAAGGTCTTGCATTGCAATCCATGTCAAAGGAATTACAAAACAATCCTAGCCTCACATTACAGGAAAACTAGCACAAAGTTAACGACTTTGAGGCAGGGTTATTTTTGCTACAAAATAAACCCTGAATATATATATATATATATATATATATATATATACACTCACCTACTAACCAAACTAATACTGTGACCCCTTTTCGCCTTCAGAACTGCCTTAATTCTACGTGGCATTGATTCAACAAGGTGCTGAAAGCATTCTTCATTCTTTAGAAATGTTGGCCCATATTGATCGGATAGCATCTTGCAGTTGATGGAGATTTGTGGGATGCACATCCAGGGCACGAAGCTCCCGTTCCACCACAGATCACTTCCGGGGCTTTCCGGCGCTATAAGCGCAGACCGAAGCGCCCGCGCCCTCAGAGTACTTGGACGTGACTGTGATTACAAGAGGTAAAAACGATATAAATACTGTTCGTTTTCTCACACAAAGCGCTCGTTTCGTGTCATAGGCCATCATTTACAAGTCATTAAATCATGTTTAATTTGGACTTCTCTGTGCATGCTCTTTGAGGTGGTGACCATAGACCTCCATGATATGACTGACAGACAAGAACGGTTTGACCTAAAAGTATCAAAATTGAAAATACTGCGGAAACAAAGACCTACACCCTTGAGGTAAGCTAAAACATATCAAAAATTAATTTCAAAGTGAACTATATCCCTTTAAGCCCTCATGTTTGCCATGTGTCTTTGTCAAGCTTTACTCCACTGTATCACAGTTTGGTAAGCTTTACATCCACGTTTATGTTTTGCTTATTTGAGTTCATGCCAGATTCAAAGCTTGGTGAGTGTCGAGAACAGCGCCATCTGGTGCTTTTTTAAAATAACGCAGCCAGAAGCAACCACAACACACTCCATAGTTTCAATGTCACGTTTCTGTTTGATTTGTCCATTAAATACATTTCTTTACCCATTAAAGCAGTGTTTCTCAAACTTTTTTTGCCATGCAGCCATTCCCCACCTGTCCCCATGCAATCGCCACAACAAAATGCTAATAAACTAGGCTTTAAGTTAAAATGTATTTTATTAACATGGCATTTTAACAACATAAACATGACAGTAGGAAAAAAAAATCATAAAAAGAAAAAAAAGAAAAAACAAAATGACTACATTTTAAAAGTTAAAGTGGC